TAGATTGTGGTCTTTTGCCCAAAATTCATCGACACAGTTCACTTCTGACCCAGAGTCTACTAGTGCAAGCACTTTTTGCAGACTCTTAGGCGTAGTGATTTCCACTGTGACATTGAAACTTAAGGCATTTTTGCATCGACTTTCCGCGCTTATAGTTGCCATTGCGAGCTGAATGGCGCGCTTTAAGCGTTTTTTGAGTCCTTTGTGTTCTTCGTATCTTTCGCATTGAGTTTCGAGTCGGATTTAGTGTTCTTGGATTCATCTTTGGGTCGTTTGAAGCATGAATCGACGGTATGTCCTGGTCGCTTGCAATAACGGCAATATTTCGATCGGGTGGAGTCATCGGACTTTGTAGTGTCATTCCATCTGCGTTTGTTTTGTGGCTTATTACCAGCATTATTTCTGTTGTTAAAGCTTTGAGTAGGGTTTCTGAAGTTTGACTTCTCTTTAAGTTTCTTCCGTCTTTCTGGCAGATTTGATTCTGCTATTGCAAGTTTGTGAAGAGTGGCATCATAGCTTAACTCTTCTAGTTTGGTTGCATATTTGTCAAATTCTCGGCGAATGGAAGGTAGAACTTTCATGTAGAGGTGTGATTTCCGATGGTATTCGCTATAAGGATGCCGCAGACGCCCTTCAATTGATTGTAAATGTGAAGCAAATTGTTGAACTGTCTGATCTTCTTGTTGCTCTGTTTTCCAGTACTGTCTATCTGCATCTCGGAAACTTTTATCTGGATCGGTGACTTGACATTGCATCCAGCTAACAAATTCTTCCCATGGTGGCAAAATCCGCATATCATGTGTATGTTGATACCAACGTTGTTGCATCTCGACATTGAAATGAGTGACGGCTTCGATGACCTTCCGATGGTCGTGTTCGTTGTAATAATCAAGATCACTGGCATGGAAAGCGATAGCAGCTGTAACAAAGTTTTCAAATTCTTTCATGCTTTGGCCTCGGAACTTTTCCACATCTCTCCGAGGAGGGTGACCGCTCATGCCGGGATCTCGAAGTTCTAATTGCCAAAGTGGTACCCGACTACGTCTCCCACTGACAGTAGTCACGGCGCTTTCCACTAAGGTGTTGGGCGCTTGTAGCGTAGGCTCCGGTGGTCCGAGGATGCTTGTGGCGTTTTCGCGGTTACAATTCACGCTAGTTGCGTCTCTACCATGGTTCGGATGCGCTTCGAGTGTATTTCGGGTGGCTGGGATGGTTTCATCCAATTCTTGCAGTAAAGTATTGCACCGGTGTTGGAGTTCTCGCAATTCCTTCTCAGCCTGTAACTTCTTAATTCTCCTAGTCACAGCTATCTTCTCGGCCTCAATTGCATTCAGATCTTCAGAAGAGGTGTCCCCTTCTGAACTATGCTCAGAGTCTGGTTCCATAGGAGAGGTTGTACGGCGGATGCTGCGGGTAGAGGCCATGACTATTACTCGACGGACCGTCTCTCGAAGATTGAGCGATTAGAAACTGTGAGGGGTGATGACAGTGTGAAGAGTGAATAGTAGAAGATAGTATATAGTGTAGTGGAAGATAATAATAATTATAGTAGTAGTATAGTTGAAGTTGTAGTTGTAGTTGTAGCTAATCGCTGAAGAGGAAAAGAAAGAGAAAGAAGATGTGCGAAATACATGCATCCATATATATATACATACAGAAATAGTGGTAGCGAGAGTATAATGGAAAGAGGTAAGAATAGACGAAGATATAAACAAAGATAATATAATAATAAGGAAATAATAAACGAGTGCATTACAAGTATGAATTGTAACTGTGAAAACATTACAAGCATTCTCAGACCACCAGAATCTATACTATAAACATTTAACATTTTAATGAAAAGCACTGTGACTACTAACAGTGGGAGACATAGTCAGGTACCACTTTGGCAATTAGAAGTTTGAGATCCCAGCATGAATAATCACTTTTCTTAAAGAAATGTGAAAAAGTTTCAAGATCAAAGCATGAAATAATTTGAAAACTTTGTTACAGTTGCTATCACTTTCCATGCCAGTGATCTTGATTATTACAATGAACACAACCATCGGAAGATCATCAAAGCCGTCACTCATTTCAATGTCGAAATGCAACAACATTGGTATCAACATACACATGATATGTGTATTTTACCATCATGGGAAGAATTTGTTAACTGAATGCAATGTCAAATCATCAATTCAGATAAAAGTTTTTGCAATGCAGATAGACAGTACTGAAAAACAGAGTAATAAAAAAATTAGACCGTTCAACAATTTGCTTCATATTTACAATCAGTTGAAAAGTGTTTGCAGCATTTTTATAATGAATATTATCAAAAATCACATCTTTATATGAAAGTTCTATCTTTCATTTATTGAGAATTTGATAAATATACAATCAACTTGAAAGAATTAAGTTATGATGCTATTTTTCACAAACTTGCAATGGCAGAATCGAATCTGTCAGAAAGATGGAAGAAATTTAAAGAAAAATCAAATTTCAAAAACTTTACTTAAAGCTTTAACAACAAAAATAATGGTGATAATAAATCACAAAACAAACATAGATGAAATGACACTATAAAATTCAATGATTTCACTCCATTGAAATATTGCTGTTATTGCAAATGTCCAGAACATATCATCGATTCATGCTTCAAATGATTCAAAGATGAATTTAATAATATCAAGTCTGACTTGAAACTCAATATAAAAGACATGAAAAATTTAAAGAACTTAAAAAACATTTAAAACACATCATTTAACTTGTAATGACAGTTATAAACATGGAAAGTTGAAGCAAAAATGCTTTAAACTTCACTGTCACAGTGGAAATCACTACATCTAAGAGTCTGAAAAAAGTGCTTGCATTAATAAACTCTGAATCAAAAGTAAACTATGTTGATGAATTCTGAGCAAAGAACCACAATTTAGAAGATGTTTATCACAAAATCAAGATGATCAAATCAATTAATGAATGTATAATATACTTTTTTGAACAGTATAACATTGCAACTACTATTACTGATCACAAAAGTAATGCACAGCAGACATCTCATTTCTTTCATATATTGAAAATGAAGAACTACAATCTCGTGTTAGAATTTTCTTGATTAAAACAAACAAATTCTCTTATAAATTGATCAGATGAATAATTCTTCTTTAAAAGCTTTGAAAATGAACAACAGCTTCAGAAGAAGCTGCTATAAGCATGCAAAGATCAGAAGAAACAGAACACTGTATAGATTTTGAATTTGATGCACAATCTTCATTTATACTAATATACAACCTCTTTAAAACTGAGTTAGCTGCTCTAAGAGAATATTTAAAGAATGCATTAGATAATGAGTGGATACAATCATTCAGTAGCCCAGCTGATGCACCAATTCTCTTTATTCTCAAGAAAGATGATGGACTCCATCTTTGTGTAGACTATCAAGAGTTAAATCAAATCATCATTAAAAATCAATACCCTTTATCTTTAAAAAGTGAATTGCTTGACAGACTCTCACAAGGTAAGATATTCACTAAGCTGAACCTTTGAGATGTCTACCACTGCATACTTATAGCAGTAAAAGACTGTTGGAAGACAGTCTTTAGAACAAGATATGAACATTTTGAATATATAATTATATCATTTGAATTAGTTAATGCTTTATTGACATTTTAAGCATATATTAACAATGCCTTGTCTGATTCTTTGAATATATATTGTATTGTTTACTTGGATGACATTTTCATATTCTTCAATTCAAAGCAGAAACATAAAGTGCATGTTATTAATATGCTAGAACATCTCAAATATATGAATTTATTTGTAAAACTTTCTAAATATGAGTTTGAAATGGATAAAGTCTCATTTCTGAGATTTGTTATAAATACCAATGATGTTGAGATGGAGTCAGACAAAGATTCCATCATTGTAAAATCATCTACATTTAAATCAATTAAAGAAATTCAATTTTTTTTGATCTTTGCTAATTTCTATCAGCAATTTATTAAATCTTTCTCATCTATTGCAGCCTCATTATTTGAACTTGCAAAAGAGAGTAGGAAAGAGAAAACAACAGCCACTTTTATAGGAACAGAAGGCATTTAAAATGCTTTCAATAAACTCAAATGACACTTTATATATGCTTCTCTATTAACTCATTTTGATTCAGTCCAATGTATTCAGATTGAATCTGATGTATTCATTTTTACAATTGCTGCTATTCTGTTACAATTGCAGAATGATAGACACTGGTATTCAATTGTTTTCTGATCAAAAAAGTTGATTGATGTGAAAACATGTTATGATATTTATAATAAAGAATTCTTGATTATTATAGCAGCATGTAAAAATTGAAGACATTATCTGAAGAGAAATCAATATTCAATTCATGTTTGATCTGATCATGTCAATCTGCAGTACTTTATGATGACTAAGAAACTGAACAGACATCAGATCAGATGAGTGAAAGCTTTATCTGTTTATGATTTTGTATTATTACATCATTATACCCTAGTGCGCCGTCCGACGCGCCCCCGTCCGATCTTCTCCCGCCCTGATTGGCCGCCCGTGCGTGCTCCCGCTCCCGCCTCCGCGTGCCCGCAGTGGGGCCCGGTCACAGTCGAGCTCCCTCTTCCCTTCCCTTCCGCGGCAGCCAGCCACCCCATTACTTCAAACTTTGCATGTAGGCCGTAGTGGATATGAAATACAACATATCCAAATCAAAAGCGATAATTCCGCCGGGAAGGGGTTACATTGTGGTGTCAAAGTCAATGAGTTGAGGTGCGATGTTTGATGGGGTAAGCCATCAACCCAACCAGACCCAACTAAATATCTATATTTTCACCCAGGCAACGGAGCGGTTAGGGTTACTAGATCAACAAAGTAAATAAAAATAGCAAAATATATAAAAAAACTGAAAGGCTTCATTCTGGAGTGATTTTAAACACAGAAAAACAAACATTCACACCAGATCAGATCTGTCAAGTTTCACACAAAGACACTGAATGAAGGAAATATATATATATTCAATGCACAAGACAGACCCAACATCGACATGGAACATCAATTATTTATCCACTGTGAATCATACCTCAGTATCATATGCCGCCGGTGCAAGCACGCTGTGTGGCCAACAGAGATTGAACAGCATCTGAAAGGCAAGGCCCATCAGCTAAAGCATGCGGTGGTTCAGCAGATAAAGGAGAACATTGAACAGTGGGACAATGTGGCTCGAGATACTACACAGTTAACACTGCCCACAATACTGAATGAACCAATCCCGGAACTACCCATTCAAGATGGCTACAGGATGAGGTGGACAGATCATGCCAGAAGGTGCAGTTCCAGCAGGTATTTGCATCGCGCAAGGGCTCCCACTACATACAGATCCAGACTAAGGAGACTACTGAGCACACCGGCACGCCAGACCAGAACAGAGCCAGCCAGGTCATTGATGAGCTGGAGCGGTTTTACCAGGAACAGCAACGGCAGACCAGCAATGTCATCCAGGCCGGGGAGCACGATGAAGCCAATCCATGGCTGCGGCGGACCAGATGGCCGGTGTACTTGACCAAAATCGCACCCAATGATCTGGTCAACTGCGTCCAGCGGCCCGACGATGACACCACGTGCCCAGATGAACTGGCCGCGAGGGCCATCTGGGAGGCCATGGGTCAGGTTGCCCGTACCAGCCAGCGAGTCATCACACGGCTGGGTCACTTCGTCCGCATCGAGGCCATCCGCACAGAGCGACACCAGACCCGGCACACCCCGTTGCAGGCATACATGGACGAGGAGAGGAGAGCATCGCCGAGCACGTGAGGCCATGGCAGCAGATGTTGATGTTTTTCGCCCGAACGCAGGTCGAGCATGAATGGACGAGCCCACAGTACCGGTTCACACCACGGCAGCGCAAGACATGGAGGGTATTATGGCAGGTAGCCACCACAGAGGGAGCCGACCAGCGACACTCCATCAGCCCAGACCCCATGGATGAGCAGATGACTGAGGAAGAAGAAGAGGAGGAGGAGAAGGGACAGAGAGATACCCAGCCAGAAGAAGAAGATAAGTTCAAATTAACCAAGATGCAGATGGCATGTTTGGATTTTTGCATTGAGCTGCTGAACCAGCGGGTTCAGGTGGAGGATTATGAGTGCGCGCTGGTAGACGCGTTGGCGGTGCTGGGACGGGGGGAGTATGGATGGTGCGACGCGGAGAGCTACCCACCAATATTGTCACGGATCATCAAGGTGGCACGGTTATGCCACACGGTGCTCAACGACCAGGTCAACTTCCGGCCCCAGATGCAACAGCTCGGCAAGCTGATGGCGGCCAAGACACAGATGGTGCTGCTGACGGCCACACTGCCACCCGGTGAGGAGGAGAAGCTGTGGTCCCGCATGCACTGCACCCGAGCGGACATATCATTGTTCCGGGCGCGGACATGCCGTCCAAATGTGGCATACCGAGTGTGGCAACCCATCATTGAAGGGTCAGAGTACGATGGGCTCAACCGATGGTTTCAAGCACCCAGCGTGGTCAGGTTCATCCAGGACCGCATGAGATGGACGGGAGAAGGTAAGGGGGTGGTGTACTGCCAGGCAGTGAATCAGGTCACGATGATGGCAAGCACATTGAGATGCGGGGCATATCACCACCACCAGATCAACAAGGCCGGCATACTGGAGTGTTTCCAGCAAGGTCAACACCAGGTCATCGTGGCGACAAGTGCACTGGGCATGGGAATCGACATCCCCAACATCCGCAGCATCATCCACGTCGGACGGCCGCGATCATTGCTGGATTATGGACAGGAGAGCGGGCGTGCAGGGTGTGATGGACAGACCAGTGAAGCCATCATCATTGAGCCCGAGGGTATCAGTGCAGCAATGATATGGTCAAGAAAGGATGCACCATCACTGCTGGACCAGAAGCTGGTTGAGCGGTACATGCAGGCAGGGGGTGAGGGGGGTGATGAACCGATGGCTCGATGTCGACGGGTGGTGCTGGACCGGTACCTGGACGGGGAAGTGGAGGGTTACATGAGACGGCACTGCGGTGATCGACACACAGGGGAGTCCCAGTGTGACGGGTGCGATGCCGAGTGGGAGGCCAGGGAGGCCGTGTTCACCCCCAGCCCAGGTGGCACGCCCACGCCCACACCCAGTCCAGGCTACAGTTCAAGAGCAACAGCCAAGGATGACTCCAGCGAGGATGAAACCAGCCAGGAGTCAGAGATGGAGAGCCAGCAGGGTGAAACCCACATCAGATTCAACGGCACATGCAGTCCCAGAATGGCCAGAAGTGTGAGCAAGAGCGCAGACGACAACATAAATGAAAGCATCACCAAGAATGAAGCTTCAACTTCAGGCGGGAGCAGCCCGGGTCAATGGAACAAGCAAGAGTCAAGTGAAATCAGTGAAGACACCAGGGGCATCCCATCAACAACCAGACAGACATTCCACAAGCAGGATGTCCGTCGAGGCCGGTTCATCATCACACACCAGCAGCGAGGGCAGAGGGCATTGATGGATGAGGAGGTTTTAGTGGAAGAGGCGCAGAGGTGGAAGGATCAGTGTTTGATATGTGCAAGTGGCAAGCGGGAGTTTGACCATGAGCTGTACCAGTGTCCCCACGAGGAGAGCCAGGAGGCAAAGAGATGGATGATGACAGTGCGGAGCAAGATCAAATACACACGGTATTCCGGGTGCTTCCGATGCGGGATGCCGCAGTCCATATGCAACAGCTGGAAGACACAGAGGCAGTGTCCGTACAGGGGATTTTTGATCCCGACGGTAGCAATGATGGTGTATGGGTGTCATGCAGGGCAGATGAAGCAGGCGTGGAGACAGCGGCTGAGAGAGTTCAATGTGGATGCAGATGATCAGGAGGCGGTGATTGAATTTTTGGGACAGAAGGTTGAGGGGCAGGGCATCGAGCACAACCGGCTGGTGGAGATGTTTTGTTGGCTGCGAGGGATATATCAGGAGGCAGAGAGGGGGAAGATGGAGTCAGAGGGTACAGAGGTCAAGTGATATCATGGGTGAGGGGCACATCACGGGTGAGAGGCACCACAGGAGGATGAAAGATGTATATATATATAAAGGCAGGTGAAGCAAGAGACAGAGGGTAAAGGGATATAACATCGAGAGAAAGTAGATCAGGTTCAAAGGATCAGTTTCAAACAGTATCATCCCATATGATAATGGGTCAGGGTCAGGGTTACAAAGAGTGAGGGTAGAGGCTGGGGGGGAGGATGAGGTGGTCAGAGTCAGGGTTAGGGTTGACCAAGAGTGAGGCTAGAGACAGGGGTGGGCAGTGAGGTCAGGATAGGCGGTTAAATTAGACGCAAACCCGTTAACCCATTGGAAGTCAAACCCGTTGGACCCAACCCGTTGGACGTCAAACCCGTTGGACGTCAAACCCGTCCCAGGAGCGCATTAACCCGTTGGGAGTTGAACACGCTGGACCCAAACGCGTTGGATGTCGAACCCGTCCAAGGAGCGCATTAACCCGTTGGAAGTCGAACACGCTGGACACAAACCCGTTGGATGTCAAACCCGTTGGACGTCGAACCCGTTGGACGTCGAACCCGTCCCAGGAGCGCATTAACCCGTTGGAAGTCGAACACGCTGGACCCAAACCCGTTGGATGTCAAACCCGTTGGACGTCGAACCCGTTGGACGTCGAACCCGTTGGACGTCGAACCCGTTGGACGTCGAACCCGTCCCAGGAGCGCATTAACCCGTTGGGAGTTGAACACGCTGGACCCAAACCCGTTGGACGTTGAACCCGTTGGATGAACCCATCAACCCGTTGGAAGTCGAACATCGCTGGTCGATTATATCAGAAGGTAGAGCCAAGTGAACATCGAGTCAGGGGCATAGAAGGTCAAATGACATCACAGATGAGAGGCAGACACGCTGTACGATTATATCAGAAGGTAGAGTGGGGGGAAGATCGAGTCAGGTGCATAGAATGTCAAATGACATCACAGATGAGAGGCAGACACGCTGGACGATTATATCAGAAGGTAGAGTGGGGGGAAGATCGAGTCAGGGGCATAGAAGGTCAAATGACATCACAGGTGAGAGGCAGATGTTGACGAGCACCACATAGAGATAAAAGATATATGCATATATAAAGATCGATGAAGCAAGAGGAAAAGGAGCAAAAAGAAAGAGGGTAAAGAGATATAATATAGCTAGATCAGGTTCAAAAACGCCCGTTGAATATCGCGTTGGATATCGGGGTTTGCGTCCGGGAAATACGTCGCGGAAGCGGAGGCGGAGACGGAAACCCCAGGTTTTCAGGGTTAGGGTTAAACAGAATATGATGGAGAGGATCGTATATACCGGTTGGGGCACACCCGTTGAATATCGCATATAGGGGTTAGCATCACGGGAAATACGTCACGGAAACGGAAACGGAAACGGAACCGGAAACGGAACCGGAAACCCCAGGGTTTCAGGGTTAGAGTTAACAGAATATGATGGAGAGGATCGTATATACCGGTTGGGGCACGCCGGTTGAATATCGTGTTGGATATAGGGGTTTGCGTCCGGGAAATACGTCACGGAAACGGAAGCGGAAACGGAAACGGAATCCCCAGGGTTTTAGGGTTGGGGTTAAACAGAATATTCTAGTACCACATTGACAGGCTAAGACCAACACCACAGATATAGAAACATCTACATATTTTAGTATGAGATGATAGAGCAGCCTCTGGGCATTAAGCTGATATATTCCATATTCCCATAGCCCATGTAGTGGTGGAGATATTGTGGTTTAAATAATGGAGGGTTCTATGGGACGATAATACCGTATTAGGTTAGCGTATATTTTCTACAGCAGCGCTAACCCGTTACAGTATTATCGTCCCAAAGTCCCGGTCAGCGCAAGGAGTGGTTAGATGTGGATGAAATCATGCATGCTGGCTCTCTACCAAACATATTCAATGCTATCTAAGTTGCAGGTCAGTGGAATAAAAATTACGTTGTCAATCAAGGATGCAATTCTCTAGGGTTATTGCTAGGGTTATTGCTAGGGTTATTATTAGGGTAGCTAGGTTTCTAACATCTTTTATCTCCTTATCTCTTTTAACTTCTCCAAAGGCTACAGTACCTTAAGCTTAATCAATAAGATGGCTATTGGTCAAGTAGCTTTGGAAGCAGTTATAAGCAAGATTAATTCTAAGTTCTATCTACCTCTATCGCAGGAGATCCCCAACGGTGCTCTATATATATATATTTATCCCGATCGTGGATTATGCCGTGTTGGAAACCTTGCCCCCTTTGGATATGTTGGATATATCTGGCGGCCTTAGTATATATCCTCTATATATCCCCCTAACCACCTCGGCCAAAAAACCAAACACTATGATACCGACCGGCATCATAGGCGCCCACACCTATGTATATAGTTAAATCCCCGGGGCATGCCGGCGCATGGGCCGTGGCATGACAGAGGTGATGGAACGATGTGAGGGCATAACGATATATATATATGAAGCTGTTGAACATAGGAGTGAGATTGATATAAGACTATTCACTGGCCCTGTGAAGATATGGGGTCCAGCGAGGTTATATACACTGCGTGGTTCTGGGTGCTGAGTTAGCCCTGTATGTAAGACCATGTAGATCAAGAGATCACAATTATCCACTTATTCATACCAGTGGGTTCCAGGGACCCCCTTAATCTTGAACCTCTCTGCATGCCTTACTATATAGGCTCCAACACGTGTAGCTATATGAGGTTTTGGGCCTCACACTGTTATATTCTATTGTTGATAGATCGAATCGCACAAGGTACAATACTATACAATGAAATAGTAATAATCGGGTCAGATTTTCTATCATAGAGTATTAAATAAAATTAAGTACAGAACAGCATCATCACCATGGAGGCCAAGAGAATTAATTCTCCAACTGAAAGTGCAACAGGTTCAGCGTTTTAGTTGCTTTATAATGGCTGTTTTAGTTCAGTAAGACTCTTCCCTGCCAGCACCAAACATGTGGAGAGCTGATCAAGCTACCATTCTATCCCAGTTGACCAGAATCCTTGGGAACAGCCTTTGGATGTGTCCCCACCATTGCTCCAGCAGAGGACCGATGTCTCTGTGGTTCAAAAGCAGGCTCTCCCCATGCAGAATGAACCTGGGAACAATGAACCTGGAAACTCTTCATCTTTCTCACCCTCATCACCTGGTGGCCTCCACCCGCCCCCTCAGTCTCCCACACCAGCATCCACGGTGAGCCATTACGCCCTTGCAGATGATAACAGGTGGTTCGATATGGATGGTCCATCTGCAGATGTGGATTCATTTGATGATGTGGAAGATAGAAGCCCATCCAGCTACAGGATGACCCCAGAGGCCATCCATCATGTAGAGCACAGGAGATCAAGCACAGCTCCTCTCTCACCAACTGCTGAGGCCTTATCACCCCTCTCATCACCACCCTCTGCGGCGGCACCACCACCCCAGGCTCCAGTGTCCATTCTTGCCCAAGGGCTTGCCGAGCAGCTGCAGCAGCACCATGGCTGTCTGGGAGACAGCCACTGGGAGTATCCCTTCGACATGCGGCCTGTTGACCATCCTTCCCCGCCTGGGACCCCCTTCCCCTCCAAGGCGACACCATCCCGGCCCATCCACTCTGTGCGCCTGAGTGAGATCATCCAGTGGGCCTGCCCGGATATCCTGTCGCGGCCACAGATAGCTCAATTTGGGGAGCCCTGGGATGAACAGCTCCCCCCACTGCAGAGGCAGAAGATCTTCAGTGGGCTGGATGTCAGGGATGACTCCACCCCTCCAGAACCACCCACCGTGGACATCGCCTCGGAGGACGTCCCCGACGGGCCACTGATGCCATCCATGGATATCGACAGCGTGGGGGGATTCGCCTCCAGCCTCGCTGTGGCCCGGGCGGGCATTCACTGGCTGGCAGCTAGGCCCCCTGTGTCCTCCCTCCAGGCAGGGCTGCATCTCTCTCCAATCCCCGTGACATGGGAGCCCTCGTCAGAGGCCTCATGCCCCCGGCGCAGCCAGAGACCGATCCACCAGATCCCACATCTTCCCCTGGGCCGGCTGGGTGGGTTCGAGGATCTAGAGCTCTACGCCCTGTTTCCCCAACTACATGACCCCGAGCGCCAGCACTTCATCATCCGCGAGGATGAGTACCGGCTGTGGACCGATCAGATTGTTCTTCCTGCCCTCCATGAGTGCTACTCTACCGCCCTGCTGGGCCACATCCCCTCCAGCACCGATCACATAAGGCTCAATGCCACCGCGCGATGGGTTGAGGGCCGTGTGAGTCACAGCAGCAGTGCACCTCGCGTCCAGCTTTTTCGGCACTTTCTCCCCCCAGAGGGTCTGGCCCCACTATGGCAGGCAGCATGTAGGCCGTAGTGGATATGAAATACAACATATCCAAATCAAAAGCGATAATTCCGCCGGGAAGGGGTTAAATTTTGGTGTCAAAGTCAATGAGTTGAGGTGCGATGTTTGATGGGGTAAGCCACCAACCCAACCAGACCCAACTAAATATATATATTTTCACCCAGGCAACGGAGCGGTGCAAAGCGGTGCAAGATCAACAAAGTAAATAAAAATAGCAAAACATATAAGAAAACTGAAAGGCTTCATTCTGGAGTGATTTTAAACACAGAAAAACAAACATTCACACCAGATCAGATCCTGTCAAGTTTCACACAAAGACACTGAATGAAGGAAATATATATATATTCAATGCACAAGACAGACCAAGCATCGACATGGAACATCAATTATTTATCCACTGTGAATCATACCTCATTATCATATGCCGCCGGTGCAAGCACGCTGTGTGGCCAACAGAGATTGAACGGCATCTGAAAGGCAAGGCCCATCAGCTAAAGCATGCGGTGGTTCAGCAGATAAAGGAGAACATTGAACAGTGGGACAATGTGGCTCGAGATACTACACAGTTAACACTGCCCACATACTACACAGTTAACACTGCCCACAATACTGAATGAACCAATCCCGGAACTACCCATTCAAGATGGCTACAGGTGCCAGCAGGATCCCCAGTGCCAGTATTTGGCAGGGAACATGAACACCATACGCAAGCACTGGCAGAACAAGCACAGCTGGTCGCCATATCCCAGCCGTGGCCGTACAGCGCCACAAAAGCGTACGGCAGCACAGGATGAGGTGGACAGATCATGCCAGAAGGTGCAGTTCCAGCAGGTATTTGCATCGCGCAAGGGCTCCCACTACATACAGATCCAGACTAAGGAGACTACTGAGCACACCGGCACGCCAGACCAGAACAGAGCCAGCCAGGTCATTGATGAGCTGGAGCGGTTTTACCGGGAACAGCAACGGCAGACCAGCAATGTCATGCATGCCGGGGAGCACGATGAAGCCAATCCATGGCTGCGGCGGACCAGATGGCCGGTGTACTTGACCAACATCGCACCCAATGATCTGGTCAACTGCGTCCAGCGGCCCGAGGATGACACCACGTGTCCAGATGAACTGGCCGCGAGGGCCATCTGGGAGGCCATGGGTCAGGTTGCCCGTACCAGCCAGCGAGTCATCACACGGCTGGGCCACTTCGTCCGCATCGAGGCCATCCGCACAGAGCGACACCAGACCCGGCACACCCCGTTGCAGGCGTACATGGACGAGGAGAGCATCGCCGAGCACGTGAGGCCATGGCAGCAGATGTTGATGTTTTTCGCCCGAACGCAGGTCGAGCATGAATGGACGAGCCCACAGTACCGGTTCACACCACGGCAGCGCAAGACATGGAGGGTATTATGGCAGGTAGCCACCACAGAGGGAGCCGACCAGCGACACTCCATCAGCCCAGACCCCATGGATGAGCAGATGACTGAGGAAGAAGAAGAGGAGGAGGAGAAGGGACAGAGAGATACCCAGCCAGAAGAAGAAGATAAGTTCAAATCAACCAAGATCCAGATGGCATGTTTGGATTTTTGAATTGAGCTGCTGGACCAGCGGGTTCAGGTGGAGGATTATGAGTGCGCGCTGGTAGACGCGTTGGCGGTGCTGGGACGGGGGGAGTATGGATGGTGCGACGCGGAGAGCTACCCACCAATGTTGTCACGGATCATCAAGGTGGCACGGTTCATGGTGGTGCACAAGGCGCTGCGACTGGACGCCAATGCATCCGACATGCTGGCCAGGAACCAAGCAAGCCAGATGGTGGGAGAGTGGGCCGTGGTGAGCGCCATGAAGGAGGCGGATTACACGTTCACAGGCAATCAGAATGAAGGGTAATCAGTGAAGACATCAGAGGCATCCCATCAACAATCAGACAGACATTCCACAAACAGAATGTCCATCAAGGCCGGTTCATCATCACACACCAGCAGCGAGGGCAGAGGGCATTGATGGATGAGGAGGTTTTAGTGGAAGAGGCGCAGAGGTGGAAGGATCAGTGTTTGATATGTGCAAGTGGCAAGCGGGAGTTTGACCATGAGCTGTACCAGTGTCCCCACGAGGAGAGCCAGGAGGCAAAGAGATGGATGATGACAGTGCGGAGCAAGATCAAATACACACAGTATTCCGGGTGCTTCCGATGCGGGATGCCGCAGTCCATATGCAACAGCTGGAAGACACAGAGGCAGTGTCCGTACAGGGGATTTTTGATCCCGACAGTGGCAATGATGATGTATGGGTGTCATGCAGGGCAGATGAAGCAGGCGTGGAGACAGCGGCTGAGAGAGTTCAATGTGGATGCAGATGATCAGGAGGCGGTGATTGAATTTTTGGGACAGAAGGTTGAGGGGCAGGGCATGGAGCACAACCGGCTGGTGGAGATGGTTTGTTGGCTGCGAGGGATATATCAGGAGGCAGAGAGGGGGAAGATCGAGTCAGAGGGTACAGGGGTCAAGTGATATCACGGGTGAGAGGCACCACAGGGGGATGAAAGACGTATATATATATAAAGGCAGGTGAAGCCAGAGACAGAGGGTAAAGGGATATAACATCGAGAGAAAGTAGATCAGTTAGGGTGATCAGTTTCAAACAGTATCATCCCATATGATAATGGGTCAGGGTCAGGGTTACAATGAGTGAGGGTAGAGGCTGGGGGGGAGGATGAGGTGGTCAGAGTCAGGGTTAGGGTTGACAAAGAGTGAGGCTAGAGACAGGGGTGGGCAGTGAGGTCAGGATAGGCGGTTAAATTAGACGCAAACCCGTTAACCCATTGAAAGTCAAACCCGTTGGACCCAAACCCGTTGGACGTCGAACCCGTTGGACGAGGAAGTCGAACACGCTGGACCCAACCCGTTGGACGTCAAACCCGTCCCAGGAGCGCATTAACCCAAACCCGTTGGATGAACCCATCAACCCGTTGGACGTCGAACCCGTTGGATGAGGAAGTCGAACACGCTGGACCCAAACCCGTTGGACGTCGAACCCGTTGGATGAGGAAGTCGAACACGCTGGACCCAACCCGTTGGACGTCAAACCCGTTGGGAGTTGAACACGCTGGACCAAACCCGTTGGACGTCAAACCCGTTGGACGTCGAACCCGTTGGACGTCGAACCCGTCCCAGGAGCGCATTAACCCGTTGGAAGTCGAACACGCTGGACCCAACCCGTTGGACGTCAAACCCGTTGGGAGTTGAACACGCTGGACCAAACCCGTTGGACGTCAAACCCGTTGGACGTCGAACCCGTTGGACGTCGAACCCGTCCCAGGAGCGCATTAACCCGTTGGAAGTCGAACACGCTGGACCCAACCCGTTGGACGTCAAACCCGTTGGGAGTTGAACACGCTGGACCAAACCCGTTGGACGTCAAACCCGTTGGACGTCGAACCCGTTGGACGTCGAACCCGTCCCAGGAGCGCATTAACCCGTTGGAAGTCGAACACGCTGGACCCAACCCGTTGGACGTCGAACCCGTTGGATGAGGAAGTCGAACACGCTGGACCAAACCCGTTGGACGTCAAACCCGTCCCAGGAGCGCATTAACCCGTTGGGAGTTGAACACGCTGGACCCAACCCGTTGGACGTCAAACCCGTCCCAGGAGCGCATTAACCCGTTGGACCCGAACCCGTTGGATGAACCCATCAACCCGTTGGACGTCGAACCGGTTGGATGAGGAAGTCGAACACGCTGGACCCAACCCGTTGGACGTCAAACCCGTCCCAGGAGCGCATTAACCCGTTGGAAGTCGAACACGCTGGACCCAACCCGTTGGACGTCAAACCCGTCCCAGGAGCGCATTAACCCGTTGGGAGTTGAACACGCTGGACCCAAACCCGTTGGATGTCGAACCGGTTGGATGAGGAAGTCGAACACGCTGGACCCAACCCGTTGGACGTCAAACCCGTCCCAGGAGCGCATTAACCCGTTGGGAGTGGAACACGCTGGACCCAAACCCGTTGGATGTCGAACCCGTCCAAGGAGCGCATTAACCCATTGGACCCGAACCCGTTGGATGAACCCATCAACCCGTTGGACGTCGAACACGCTGGACGATTATATCAGAAGGTAGAGGGGGGGAAGATCGAGTCAGGGGCATAGAGGTCAAATGACATCACAGGTGAGAGGCAGATGTTGACGAGCACCACATAGAGATAAAAGATATATGCATATATAAAGATCGATGAAGCAAGAGGAAAAGGAGCAAAAAGAAAGAGGGTAAAGAGATATAATATAGCTAGATCAGGTTCAAAAACGCCCGTTGAATATCGCGTTGGATATAGGGGTCAGCGTCCGGGAAATACGTCACGGAAACGGAAGTGGAAGCGGAAACGGAAGCGGAAACGGAAACGGAATCCCCAGGGTTTTAGGGTTGGGGTTAAACAGAATATGATGGAGGGGATCGTGTGTACCGGTTGGGGCACGCCCGTTGAATATCGCGTTGGATATCGGGGTTTGCGTCCGGGAAATACGTCGCGGAAGCGGAGGCGGAGACGGAAACCCCAGGTTTTCAGGGTTAGGGTTATGATTTAACAGAATATGATGGAGAGGATCGTATATAACGGTTGGGGCACGCCCGTTGAATATAGCGTTGGATATAGGGGTCAGCGTCACGGGAAATACGTCACGGAAGCGGAAACGGAAACGGAAACCCCAGGTTTTCAGGGTTAGGGTTATGGTTAACAGAATATGATGGAGAGGATCGTATATACCGGTTGGGGCACGCCCGTTGAATATCGCGTTGGATATAGGGGTCAGCGTCACGGGAAATACGTCACGGAAACGGTCACTCTAGTACCACATTGACAGGCTAAGACCAACACCACAGATACAGAAACATCTACATATTTTAGCATGAGATGATAGAGCAGCCTCTGGGCATTAAACTGATATATTCCATATTCCCATAGCCCATGTAGTGGTGGAGATATTGTGGTTTAAACAATGGAGGGTTCTATGGGACGATAATACCGTATTAGGTTAGCGTATATTTTCTACAGCCGCGCTAACCCGTTACAGTATTATCGTCCCAAAGTCCCGGTCAGCGCAAGGAGTGGTTAGATGTGCATGAAATCATGCATGCTGGCTCTCTACCAAACATATTCAATGCTATTTAAGTTGCAGGTCAGTGGAATAGAAATTACGTTGTCAATCAAGGATGCAATTCTCTAGGGTTATTGCCAGGGTTGTTGCTAGGGTTAATGCTAGGGTTATTAGGGTTATTTCTAGGGTTATTATTAGGGTAGCTAGGTTTCTAACATCTTTTATCTCCTTATCTCTTTTAACTTCTCCAAAGGCTACAGTACCTTAAGCTTAATTAATAAGATGGGCTATTGGTCAAGTAGCTTTGGAAGCAGTTATAAGCAAGATTAATTCTAAGTTCTATCTACCTCTATCGCAGGGAGATCCCCAACGGTGCTCTATATATATATATTTATCCCGATCGTGGATTATGCCGTGTTGGAAACCTTGCCCCCTTTGGATATGTTGGATATATCTGGCGGCCTTAGTATATATCCTCTATATATCCCCCTAACCACCTCGGCCAAAAAGACCAAACACTATGATACCGACCGGCATCATAGGCGCCCACACCTATATATATAGTTAAATCCCCGGGGCATGCCGGCGCATGGGCCGTGGCATGACAGAGGTGATGGAACGATGTGAGGGCATAACGATATATATATATGAAGCTGTTGAACATAGGAGTGATTGATATAAGACTATTCACTGGCCCTGTGAAGATATGGGGTCCAGCGAGGTTATATACACTGCGTGGTTGGGTCATAGAATGAACGTTGTTTTGTATTAAAACTAACTAGCCGAGCAACAACTAAATAAGATTGGGGAGCACGTGATCTAGGGTAGCCGTAGTATCCACCTACAATCGGTTCCAGAGACCCCCTTAATCTTGAACCTCTCTGCATGCCTTACTATATAGGCTCCAACACGTGTAGCTATATGAGGATTTGGGCCTCACACTGTTATATTCTACACTGCATAGTGCTAATCTAGATACCTCAAAGATTAAGAACAACTAGGTAGAGGGTGAGGAGAGCTTATCATCAAGTTGTTGATAGATCGAATCGCACAAGGTATAATACTATAGAATGAAATAGTAATAATCGGGTCAGATTTTCTATCACAGAGTATTAAATAAAATGAAGTACAGAACAGTATCATCACCATGGAGGCCAAGAGAATTAATTCTCCAACCGAAAGTGCAACAGGTTCAGCGTTTTAGTTGCTTTATAATGGCTGTGTATGTCTCCACTACCCTCTTCTCCTTGGGACCTAGATGGATCTTTTCGAAATTTGGTGGCAGGATCTTATTTGCTCTGAAAGTATACCATTAGCATCATATTAAGTGAGAAGGAAAGTAGAGAAGAGAAGCAGATTATATCATACATACTTTTCATAGCGCACCTTCATGTTCGGAGAA